TACACATCATCACATGGCTCCAACTAGAAATATGATTAGAAAGGACACAAAATAGTTTGGCTAGTTTCAGTTTAACCAAACTAAACTTGGGCAGCTTGATGGCATTGATATACTACTACTACCACCAAAGCTGCTTCATGTAACTTCCATCATTCTCAGGCAAGATCCCATCTGATCAATAGCTCTCGACATTCAATGAAAGTAGCTTTATAGGCAACCGATGTCTATGTGGGGAACAAATCCAAAACAAATGCGTAGATAATTTCCATAAAGATGATGGAAGAAGACATGATCTGAATGAGAAGGAAGAAAAAAGAGTTCTTGATGGACCTTTGGTTTCTATTCATTTGTGTTTGTGTCATATTCGATTGGATTTTGGAGTGTCATTGCACCACTTTTCTTTAGTGTGAACTGGCAAAGAAAATACTATGGTACTATAGATGTATGGATCCTTTCTTTGTTTAACAAGCAAGGGTGCTTACTTTGTAAGAAATGATGTTTCAAAGTTAGCAAAATTTGTCAATTTCCTTAATGAAGATGTACTTTTTTATGTTATTTTGCAAATATACTAATGATAATTTGCATGAGCATGCTTAATATATACTATGAACATCAAATGTTATCCATGTTATTTTGGTTCAAGTCTTTAGATTTAGGCAAATAATCATTCATTTTTGTTGATATAAATGTTCAATATAATTGCTATTGCAAGTCTTTACAATGTCAAATGAAGTTGTTTTCATTAATAGTGTCCTTTCTTCGTATACTTCTTTCACCTATTCCGAAAAGTTTCTACTAATTCTACTATTGCAATTCTAGTGCAATACCATGTAATCCCCACTAGTATAACCTGCATCCAAGAGCTATTAACTATTGTTAATGCTAAAGAACCACCTATATGTTCTTTTACTTCACTAGCCACTCTGCCTCCAACTTGTAATTTAACTATAAATGCAGCAATTGTTGCTGTCATCACAGGAAGTCTCCATTCAAAGTTGTTCCTCCTTTCTTTTCCATGTTTATTGTGAACTTGGTCATCTTTTTCCTTCAATTTTTTGGTATGCAAAGGCTTTGAAGCAACTTTAGGAGTATCATTGAAACCATCGATTGAGGCAGGGAGGGCCTGTCTTGAGGGAATCCAGTACTCGTTGTGATACAAACTATTTGGTTGATTCTGGGCTGCTGATTGTTCTCAAGCTATTTCTTGCTTGTTTCTGAGTAGCAGTAGCATCTTGGAGCTTGTTAATGTATTGTTCCTTCAACTTTTGGGGAATGTGTGTGACAACTTTTGATGACATTTTGACATGGAACCTCCCACCTTTTGTGGTTTCCAATATAACCATTTTGAAATTGATTTGATTGCTTGAATTGCAAACATCCTTTCTTCCCTATACCTATTTTCTTCTTGGAAAAAACCCAACTTATTTGCAGTGTTTGACAGCATGAGCCTTTGATATCTATTTAGAAAAAAAAAAGAAAAAGAGAGAGACAAAATGTTAATAATCTCTTTAGAGAATCACCTCAAAAGACATAATAAATTGCCATTCTTGTCTTCATTTTCTAACTTACAAAATCAATCTTTAGAATTGCTAATCCTAAAAGGAAACCTTAATCTTCCATAGTTATGATGATAGAAATCTCCCTATATAACAGTCTCATTCTCATACTATTGTCTCCAAAATCTCCTTTTTCGGCTGCATGGCAAATCAGACTACAAAGGCATGCCACTCACTTCACTCAAAATGAGAAAGAGAGATTCTCAATGACCCTTACTACTTCCAAGCGTGGAACTAGGCTATCAGTTGATGGAAGAGCATTGGTTAAATAAATTATGAGGTGCACCCTGCTTAGACGACTGTCGCAGAAATTGGGGTGCATTCCTCTATAAAGGTTTATAAACAATTATCTTGGAAGAACATCAGGGACTTCCCACAACTAGAGCCAAAATGTTTGTTTACTGATCAAAATAAAAGAGAAAATAAAGGAAAAGAGAAGAAAGAGAGTGCATGGAAAGAAAACTAAATTGCAAAGAGGAAGCGTGATGTCATTGCAAAAGCATCAAAGTGTGAAAAATGAAATAAAAGCTGAAGCATAAAACTAAACTTAAAAGAAGCTAAGAAGATGAATTTAGGGCAAAGTGTAGTAAATTGAATTGAAGGAAACTAAATACATTAGTGGAGATGTTCACAACGAAATAATAAAAACTAGATCTAAAACTAATGGCAGTGTAAAGCTAAAAACTAAATTAGGATAGCTATTTGAGAAAACTAGATCTAAACTAAGACATTGCTTGTGAAATTGAAACGTAGATAACACTAGACTAGATGTGTGAGAGGTAGGTCTATCTTGCTTCGTTTCTTCTCTGCGTACAAACACCCCTTGACAGCATGCTTGGAGATCTATGGCAGCATCTTGAAAACTAATAGTAGCATGAAATCTGCAACAAATTGATTGATCTATTGGTGCTACTGATTATGCTCCCAGAAGTTCGCAATAAGCAAACAGCTTTGCTGATGTTGTGAAAAAAATCACTGAACCTTATCTAAAAAGATCTACATCAACAACTTTTCAACAAACAAAATTCCTTCCAACATGGATGACACATGGCACCATTCTATTTATTACAAAATTAGATATAAACACATACCTTGGAAATTTTCACGACAGCTTTGTCCATGGCATCAACAAATCTCTGTTGAAAGTTGAAACTTCTAAAAATTAATCTTGCTAAAAAAAAATGGCAAACTCGAATGTTCTCTCTCTAACTTTTCACTCTCCTCAAGAGAAGGATCAGCTTGATCAAAGTGTGAAAAGGATCAAGAATGTTAATCTAATCGCTACTACTCCATCTAAAGAAGAGCATATGGCGGAAGCTGCAACCAATCCCTTGTCCTATAGAGATAAACTGACCTACGATGGCTCTTTCGAAAGTCCCAATGAGGACCTTTCTTTTGATGCCATTCTTGAATATCTTGATGAAGAATTGGATATTGACGATGATCCAGATGACCCAACGCCGATAATCCTCTTCTCTAAAGAGGAAAAAAGATGCATGCGCGAACCATGGAAGAATGCTCTTATTGTGAAAACTTTTGGCAAGACAGTGGGTTATAATTTCCTTTACAGGAGTCTCAAAGCCCAATGGAAACCAGCAGGTAACTGGGATTGCATTGATTTAGGATATGACTTTTTTCTTGTTCATTTTCAGGTACACAAAGATCTCAGTAAGGTTATCAATGGTGGCCCCTGGTTTGTTGGTATAAACTACCTCACTATCAGACCATGGGAACCAAATTTTAAGCCTGAAAGTGCCACTTTCTCACACACAATGGTGTGGGCAAAGGTGTCGGGCCTTTCAGCAGAATACTATGACACAATCTCTTTGCAACGTATTGGCAATGAAATCGAAACTCTTCTCCGTGTAGATGCCCATACAGCACACCATACATGTGGACAATATGCTCATGTGTGCGTTAGAATTGATTTGAATAAACCGCTTGTAAAGCTTCTCAGATTGGGCAGAATTCATTAGAAAGTTGTTTGTGAGGGGATTAGAGGACTCTGCTTTGCGTGTGGTCGGATTGGCCATCGCAAAGAGGTTTGTACTTTTAAATATAGGCCATCTGCAACAGCTAGTGTCATCAATGTTGATCTCCAAAACCAGGCAAACATTAATGAAGTTTCTGAAATCAATGTCACAGGATGCCGCAAGCCGGAGGTTTTAACTTCTACAGAAAGGGTGGGAGGCATCCAAGTTGCTAGTAACAACCATGTCTCTAACTACACTGCTGATTCTAGGCATATTCGGGAAAATCAATTTGATGAATTTGGTCCTTGGCTTATTGTGGAGCGAAAAAAAGAAGAAAACCCAGAAACAGGTGTCGGAATCTTCATCGGAAGGAAAAAGCAATGGGCCCAAGGTATCTAAGGGCCCCACATAATCGAACCAAAAATCGGGTTCGATGAACCAAATGGATCATAGTTCAGTCAAGGTTGGAAAAACTAACGATACACCTGCAGGAGCATTTAATGTGAAAACTCAATTCAAACTTACTAAACAAACGGTTCAAAATCAACCGTTACCAACTCTACGTCTAACCATATGGATATAGGCCCAAAGAGGGATTCCATATCCACAAGTTTTGCACTCAAAGGGAAAGATATTGTGGGCTCATCCAAGACAATAAATGAAGATTTTGGCACAAATGGGAATGTGGGCCAAAGCAACAGTCCAACAAAGGCCATTATTCCAATAGAGACTATCTCTAGTCCAATGACTGGGCCTTTTAGACCTTTTACCAATGCTTCAACCAACCTAGAAGCTTCGTTGCTCACTATTAAAGAAATGATTAAAAATCTTGAAACAACTTCTAACTTTACTTTTGCATCGTCTAATTCCTCTACTCTCCCAAAATCTTCTTCAGAGATCAGAAATGAGCGATCCAGCAGTAGCTTTGCCAATTCCTCAGCTCAGCCCCAACTTGAAAGTCCTACTAGTCAACAACAACAATGTGATTTCAATGGAGGAAGCCTTAGAGCTGTCATTGTCAAGGGAGGAAAAAATACACTCGTTATGGAAGGAGAGGGATCTGTTCAAGGCTTGGCGCAGTCCTCTCCTAACTCTCAAATCCATAGATCCTCGTCCTTTTCTAAGCTCAATGCCAGCTTTGAAGGAAGATTCGATAGCTATGGTAGATCAATGCAATACTCAAAAGCTAGAGTTCACTACCGCAAGAGCAAGCATAGAAGAGATAAAGGGCCCTACCCAACCTCTGAAATTTCTAGCCTAGGCATGGAAAGAACATCTCCAAATTTCTGATATAATGGGCAAGATGGAGACGATCCATGTTATCATCAAGCCCTCAATCTTGTTGGGGACGGAGGAGATGTATCACGAATGTCTGATGCTTCCGTGTCACTTTCTGGAGGCCATAATGATGTTGTTGCACAAGGAAACTCAGGAACCGATGTTCGACTAGGCTCTAGCTAAGTTAGCCTTGGGTTTCTCTAATTCTTGTTGTTGGTCAATGAAGATGCTCTCTTGGAATTGTCGCAGTGCGGCTAAAATGGAGTTCAATAGGCGCATGAGAGATTTGTAGAATCAACACTCTCCTTCAATTATGCTTATTCTCGAAACGAAGCTCTCTGGCTAGGATGCTAGGGAAGTTACGGCTGAATGTGGATATCCTTGTAGCCATGTAGTTGACTCAGATGGTAGCGTTGGTAGTCTCTGGCTATTGTGGGATGATAATGAAGTGTGTGTCGATGTCATCACCTCAACTTTTCAAGCAATCCACGCAATTGTCCAGGTACGCTTCACCCCATCTTCTATAAATTTCATCGGTTTCTTTTTGGTGTTTATGGTAGGCCCCAATTTGAGCTTAGATCTCACTTAAGGGATGAACTGCGTGAGGTTGCAAAATACTTCAATAGGCCTTGGCTTGTGATTGGAGACTTTAATGATGTTGTGGATCAGGTCAAAAATTTTGGGGGTGCTCATATTAGTCAATCTCGTGTTCGTGCTTATACTGACTGTATGAGTGACTGTAACCTCATGGATATTGGGTACACAGGGGGTAGGTTTACTTGGGTCAATATGAGGGAAAATAACCATGTCATCAGGGAACGTCTTGACGGGGCATGGGCTAACCCTAATTGGCGTCTTCAATTTCCTAATTCAAATCTCCTTCACCTCCCTCGTATTAGCTCTGATCATAACCCACTTTTCCTTTATCTTGATACCCCATTGCTTAGGAATGGGAATAGGCCTTTTAGATTGGAGAAATTTTGGTTAGAACATTTTGAGTTTCATGATCTGATCTCGCTTATCTAGTCTACTCAAAATTTGTGCAATTCGCAATGTATTCTGAAATCCCAAACTTCATGTAGAATTTGGAGTAGAACCACTTTTGACAATATATTTGTTAAAAAGTGGATTCTCAATGCTAGACTTGATGGCATTCATCGTTCTCTCTCACAGAATCCTTCTAACTTTCTTACTACTTTAGAGAAGGAGCTTACCCTTGAATATGAGAAAGTCTTGAAATTGGAGGAAGATTTATGGTTTATGAAATCCAAATCTAATTGGATTGTCGATGGGGACCGTAATTCCAAATTCTTCCATTTATCTACCATTAAGCATCGGAATCATAATAGAATCCACTGCCTTCAAACCTCATATGAGGATTGGATTTGTGATCAGCAGGCTATTGTTGATCTTATCAAGAATCATTTTATGCATCTTTTTACCTCTTTTCTTGATTGCTTTTATCATGATTCCTTCTCTAACCTGGGAGTTGGTATCTTAGAATCCTATGACTTAAGCTTTCTGGACAACCCACTTACTAATGAAGAGATACATAACGCCCTTTTCGGACTTAAGCCTTTCAAGGCTCTTGGGCCTAATGGTCTTCATCCTAGTTTCTTCCAAAAACTGTGGGATTCAGTGAGGAGTATTCTGTGTAGCGATATTCATAACATTTTCTCCTCGGCTTCTATCCCTGCTCAATGGAATGAGTGTTTAATTACTCTTATTCCCAAAACTAAAGCTCTTGAAACAGTCCAACAGTTTCGTCTTATTGGTCTCTGTAACACTACCTATAAAATTATCTCCAAGATTATTGTAAATAGAATGAAACTTGCATTGGATGATTTGATATCACCTTGTCAGGCTAGCTTTGTTCCTGGTAGAAATGGTACTGATAATGTACTTATCCTACAGGAACTTGTTCATTCCTTTTCTAAGAGGAAAGGTCAGGTGGGTGATATGGTGGTTAAACTTGATCTCGAAAGGCCTATGATAGGCTAGAATGGAGCTTCATTAGAAAAGCCTTAACTTTCTTCAAGTTCCGACTAAAATTCATATCTCTTGTTAAGAGTTGTGTTTCCTCTTCTACTATTTCAATTTTGGTTAATGGTAATAAAACAGATGCTTTTCTTCCTTCCAGAGGCATCCGACAGGGTGATCCTATTTCACCTTACCTGTTCATTCTTTGCATGGAATACCTTTCTATCAAACTTTCCAATGATATGGCTGAAGCCAAATGGAAGGGTTCCAAGGCTGGTAAGTGTGGACCTACTCTATCTCATATTTTTTTCACTGATGACTTAATTTTTGTAGGAAAAGCTACTCTTACCAATGCACAATATCTTAAGGATACTCTAGAATTCTTTTGTTCTCGGTCTGGGCAAATGGTCAACAATGCTAAATCTAAGATTTTATTTTCAAAAAATGTTGATCAAAACACTAGAGACAACATTAGTCAAAGCTTGGGATACCAGCAGACAAATGAGCTTGGCAAGTACTTGGGCATCCCAATTTTGGCTAAGAGATGCTTTAAGGTAAATTGTGAATTTATCCTTGAAAAAATCCGCTCTAAGCTTTCAGGATGGAAAACTAAAATTTTCTCCATGGCTGGTAGAGCCACTCTTGTGTCATCTGTTCTTGCCTCCATTCCAAATCACTTTATGCAGGTGATGTGGCTTCCCTCATCTGTCCATAAAGAAATTGACAAAATTTATAGGAATTTTTTATGGGATTCTATTGATGACCAATGCAAGATTAATCTTGTGGATACACTATTTGCAAACCCAAAACTCATGGCGGCCTTGGACTTCATATTGCCCGTAATGCTAACATTGTTGCCATGAGCAAACTCAATTGGAGAATTCACACAGAAAAGGACAAAATGTGGAGAGAGGTGTTGATTAAGAAATACAATATCAATGATCTCCATTTTGCTCCTTCCTCTTTTGCCTCTCTGGTTCTTAAGATTTTATCTAAAGGTACTCCTTTTTTATTTTTGGTATTAAATGGGTCCCTTGAAACAGACTCTCGATTTGCTTTTGGTCTGACAACTGGGTAGGGAAAGCGTTTCTTAATTCTATTTTATTTGGTCCCTTTGCTTGAAACACCTCCAATATCCTTCTTGCGGATGTTTTCCAAGAGGGTGTTCCTGATCTTGATACCATTGGTTATCATATTCCCCAAGACTTGATTATGCAAATCCTTGTTGTACCCATGTTAAGCTATCATTCTGCTTCTAATGTTTTTTCGTGGAAGGAAGAATCCAGTGGTATCTTTTCTTCCTCTTCAGCCCACAAAATCCTTACTATTAAGGATTGTCAGGTGAATGTCAATTGGAAGTGGATTTGGAAAACCCCAACCCTCCCAAAAATCCAAATGTTCTTGTGGTTGCTTGCCCATGGTAAAATCAAAACTCTAGAGTATCTCCATCATCTTAGCATTATCGATAATCCGACTTGCATGATATGTAGGAGACAAACTGAGTCTATTGATCACGTATTTAGAGATTGTCCTTATGCTGTTGCTGTCTTCAACAAATTATCTCCTGCTTTTGCTAACAGCCATAATGCTATGAACTTTAGGCATTGGCTAGTTGAACATACTCACAACAACTCTCTTAGCCTTTTTTTTTCAACATTCCTTGGGCTATTATTTTTTTCTTTGCTATTTGGGTTCTTTGGAATCAAAGGAACCATTTTCTGTACTGTCATCAAACTGTGGACATTCAGAGGACTTATGATTTAATTATTGAAAGGGCCATTGAATATTGGGCATCTGCTCCTATTTCTAGTGTTGCACATAAACACTACCTTAGGCTCATCTCCTGGGAACCACCCCCCCCTTTGGTATAAAATTAATACTGATGGTTCTACGGTCGGGAATCCAGGTTATGCTAGCTGTGGGGGAATTCTAAGAGATTCTAGGGGTCTGAGGGTTGTTAGTTTTTTGAGAAATATTGGTTACACTATTGCTTTGGCTGCTGAACTTTGGGCTATTAGGGATGGACTATTTATTGCTAAAAACCTTCAGCTGTAGAATGTTATCTTGGAGACTGACTGTCAGGTTGCTTATGCTCTTTTATCAAAAGACCATAATCCTTTTCATCCTCACAACACGCTGTTAATGGATTGCAAGGACCTTTTGCGCAGCATTCCTCAAGTTCAACTCAAACATGTGATGAGGGAAAGCAACATGGCTGTTGATGCTGTTGCTAAAAAAGGAGCTATGGCCCCACATGGTTTTCATATTTTGGTTAATTGTCCACCAGATGTGGACTTGTTGTGTATGGCTGATCGTATAGGGGTTTGCTACCCCAGACTGTAACTCTTTTGTTTTTCTTGTTATATTATCTTCCTTTTACCAAAAAAAAAAAAAAAAAAAA